TGAGAATTAAATGAGAACCTGAATGATCAGTGCCTCGTCCATACAATAGGTGCTCAATGAATGTTAGTTACCACATTTATAAATGCACAAATGGGGAAAATAGAGCAATCCTCATCCTTTGGGATATGTGGACTACAGACCATTCATCCCTTTTTCATATTTTCAACAATTATTGAGCATTGGCATTTGCCAGGCACTGCGAAGGGGCCCAGCATGAACACATAGATCTTCTCTCCAAGGGAAGTCTTTCTGTCCAGCTGGTTTACAACTTGTAACCTGAAAGCCTGGAGGAGCCCTCATATCTAGGCTGGCAGTGTCCTCCCTCCTTCAACCAGGGGTCCCTGCTTATTGCTCCCAAATGCAGCAAAGCAAAGACAGGCCCCTCCCTGGACACTTTCACTAGAACAGGTCAGCTGAGAGCATCTCCCCAAATCCCAGAGTTGCCTGGACAGAAGGTAAACCTTCCCTGAGAAGCCAGGAAGAGGTGCCTTCACGATCCAGGGGCAGGCTATGGCAGAAAGTATGCAGGCCTTGGGGTCAGCCAGGCCTGGGTTCAGATCCCAGCCTTGCTACTTACCAGCTGTGTAGCCTCAGGCAGGCTACTCAACCTCTCTGAGGCTCAGTTTCCTCATCTGAAAAGGGGATGATAATTGCACCTCTATCCACCTCACAGTTGTATCATGAGAACTAATTAAGACAATAGGCATGAACAAACATCCTATATAATAAAGAGGTAATATGCAAATTGACCCTCATGCCCTCACAAGATGGCTGCCTTCGACCAGGTCAGCAGTGGGGTTAGTGAGGGACGACCAAATGACTGAACACCAGGCTGCGTGGGGTGACCAGGCCAGCGGAGGAGTGGGGGGGTGGGTCGTGAAGGGCAACCAGGCTGGCAAAGGGGGCAGTTAGGGGCGATCAGGCCAGCACGCAGAGGCAGTGAGGGATGATCAGGCTGGCGGGGGTGGGCGGGCGGGAGGGACAGTTAGGGGCAACCAGACAGGCAGGCAGGTGAGCGATTAAGAGCCAGCAGTCCAGGATTGTGAGAGGGATGTCCCCCAAGGGGTCCCAGATTGGAGAGAGTGCAGGTTGGGCTGAGGGGACCGCCCCCCATGCACGAATTTCGTGCACTGGGCCTCTAGTAGTCTATAAACTCTCAGGTGCTTTAAGAACTCAGCTCCTGCCAGGCTGGCATGGCTCAGTGGTTGAGTGTCAACCTATGATCCAGGAGGTCACTGTTTAATTCCCAGTTAGGGCATGTGCCCAGGTTGTGGTCTCCATTGCCAGTGTGGGGCATGTAGGAGGCAGCCAATCAGTGGCCCTCTCTCATCATTGATGTTTCTATCTCTCTCCCCTTCTCCCTTCCTCTCTGAAATAAATTAAAAACAAAAAAACCCACTCAGCTCCAGCCCTGGCCAGTGTTTCTCAGTGGTTAGAAACACCACAGTGTCGCAGGTTTTATTTCCAGTCAAGGACACACCTGGGTTGTGGGTTGGTTCCCCAGCCCCAGTCAGGGCGTGTGTGGGAGGCAACCAATCGATGTGTCTCTCTTACATTCAAGTTTCTCTCTCTCTGTCTGTCTCTCTCCCCCCCTCCCTCCCTTCCTTCCACTCTCTCTAAAAATCAATAGGGGGGAAAAAAATCCTCAGGTGGGGATTAACAAAACAACAACAAAAAAACACCCCAAAACTCAGCTCCTGCCCTGGCTGGGTAGCTCAGTTGGTTAGAGTGTCATGCAAGGTTGCAGGTTCAATCCCTGGTCAGGGCACATACAAGAATCAACCAATGAATGCATAAATAAGTGGAAACACATTATGTCTCTCTCTCTCTTTCTCTCTCAAATAAATAAATAAAAATTGTTAAAACAACAACAACATATTAAAAGAAAAAACACACAAAACTCAGCTCCAAACCAGGAGCTGATGGGTGGCTCCTGGGACCAGAGTGGGGAAGGGCAATGTCTCTCTCTCACACTCACTCTCTTTTAAAAGTATGTTTTTATTGATTTTCAGAGAGAGGAAAGGAGAGGGAGAGAGAGATAGAAACATTGATGAGAAACATCATTGATCGGCTGCTTCCTGCACGCCCCCTACTGGGGATTGAGCAGGCAGCCCGGGCATGTGCCCTGTCCGGGAATCAAACCGTGACCTCCTGGTTCATGGGTCGCCGCTCAAGCACTGAGCCATGCCAGCCGGGCAAGCCTTCTCTCTTGCAGAAGGGTCCAGAACACGGGAGAAGCACAGGAGGGACATGGAGTCCCAGTGGGACTGAAGAGGAACGGGGCAGAGGACTCTGGATAGAGAAGAAGATGGATGAAGGAAGGACCAGGAGTGCCTCTTTTGCAGCCACGGATAGAAATCTGAGACCACGGCCCCTTTGCTACGCCTATTCCTCCAGGAAAGATCCCAGAAGCCCAGTCTCCAGCCCTCTCCCTGCCCAGCCCCTTCCTCAGCATGTTTCCGCTATTCCCTCTCACCGCTGAGTTGAACCTCAGGTGACAGATGTTACAGGAAATGAAGAGCTTCTTCTTCAGAGGGGAGGGGACCCCAAAGGTGTGGCTGATGACAGCTTTCTGGACGGGGTCCATCTGTGAAGGGGTGGGAGGGCACAGTAACTCCGGGGTTGCCTCTGGAAGGGGGCAGTACAAAACGCCGCAAACTAAAGGCTATCCAGGAGGGCAGTGGGCACCCTCAGGAAGAACTTCATCCTTGTGAGGCCAGACCCAACACAGGAAACAGCCTGGTCCCTGGCAGACTTTATCTGTCAGCCCGGGCTTCCGCTTGGAGGCAGGGGGATGGCCAAGGTGCCCTCCACGATCTTGAGAGATACAACCATGTCCTGGTGATCACCTTGGCATTTCTTGCTGCCTCTGGCCTCTGATTTTGTTTTGTTTTTCTCATTCACAAGAATCATATAGGGGACAGATTGTTGGGGGTAGGGAGAGGCAGGGAAGGGACAGAATCCCTCTGTTGGAATTTCCTCTCCCGTAACCCTTGTGCTGGACCTAATGGCTGGGGAGATCAGGCTCATCTTATGAGCTCTGCCACTGCCACAGGGCCTGAGCAGGAGAGGAAGCCTGGGCCAGGGGCGGTGGGGGGCCAGGATGGGGCAGGTGACAGCAGGTAGAGGCCCTGAGTAGTAGAATCATTTCTTTGCAATGTTAATGTGTGTGTCTTTTTCTTTTTCTTATTTTAAATAATTTTTTCTTCTCTTTTCTCAGGGGCCTAGATTGTTGGGCCAAAAGCGGAAGCCATCTGAGCTTGCTTGTCCAGAACTTTCTGTTCTCATCTCTCAGGAAGGCTGAGAGGGAAAAGCATGGTTTCAGGAACTTCCCTGAGAACAGAAAGAGGTTCTAATTCCCACAGCAACCAGGGCCGAGGCAGCAGGGGACAGGGCTCCAGAGAATGGCCTGCAGGGCCCCCAGCGATCAGGACAACAGCGCTTCACCCATTCCTGAGGGTCCATGTGCCTGAACAGTGAGCATGTCAGCAAGTGACAGCAGAAACCTAAGACCAGAGGACCCTCTCCAAATGCCTCAGGTTCCTGGGACCTCTGTGCAGCCCTGGAGGGCAGGCAGGAAGGAAGGGATTCCTCAGGGTGACTGAAGCCGAATTCCCCACCATCTTGTCAGGGTGGGCGGGGCTCACTGATGACTGCATTTGATTTTTCAAAATTAAAAAGGGGGTAGCATTCCTTACGGCTCATGTAGTGAAGTCTAATTCATGCTCACTACCCTTGTTCTTCACGCACATTCACACATGGAAATACGCAGACTAGGACACAGAGAGCACATGAGCTTACAGACAGTTACAGGTTACAGTGCCGTGCAGAATAACACACACACACACACACACACACACACACACACACACACACACAAATGGCATCCAGACAAAGGCACAATCACCCAACCCATACAAAACACAGTCAGAGGTCAGACACACACCAAAACGCACACAGTCAACACAAAGACACAACACATCTCTCAGCTACCCATGCACACATATTACATACGGAGAACGAAAGAGTTGTTTACAAACACACACACAGGACACCAACACACAGCCACATCCACAAATAACACACAAAGACCTATGGATTTACAAACTAACACAGAAAGGCACACTCAATTGCACACACAAATCATCCATAGAAGTCCCTATACCAAAACTCAAGTGAAATCTACAGTACAGACCCTACAGGCCCAGCCGTTGTTACTGGGGGACACCATTCTCCTGGGGGTCCCCCAGTAACAACCCCCAGAGAGCTGGGCCTGGGGGTCTCTATTTTGGGAGCACCTAGTCTCTTGGGGATGTTGGAGGAAAATGAGCTCCTGGTTAGACCCACCTTCTGAGAACCGGCCCACCTGAGCCCACCTTCCATGCCCACCCCAGCTTGGCTGCGTGCCCCCCGCCCGCCGGCCCAGCCCGTACCGTGCTGAAGTTGGGGAAGAGACTGAGCGGGGCAGCGCCATTGAAGTGGAAGGCGAGCAAGTGCTTGAAGTCCAGCGGGGGCTGCAGAGGCCTGGCAGCCAGGGGCAGGGAGGCCAGCAGGGGGCTGGGGGTGCTGGATGCTGGGCCTGCTGCAGGAGGAAGAAGGGCAGGGTCTGAAATGGGGAGCCACAGGGCAATCCTACCCCCACAGCCAGAAGAAGCGGATGGGCTTCTTGGGTGTGAAGCCAGGACAGAGTTCCTGTCTCCCTTGTCACAAAGTAGCCCTGGCCAAGCCCAGGGCAATGACAGCCCATCTCTGTGCCTCTCCTCTCCACAACTGGGGCAGCAGAAGCAGGGAATCCACAAAAGAAGGAGGACCCTCCTGCCCTTACAGAGACCCAGATGAATGCTTCAGGGGAGCCAGGCCAAGGGAGGGAACAGAGGCGTCAGGGCAGGCCCCCGACACACACACAGCACCATGGAGACTGCACATGAGCTGGGTTTCCTCTTTATTGCAAATTAAACCCAAACCCAGGAGGCCTGGGGAAAGGTCATCCCTCTCCCTTCTCACTTCCCCCACATCATGCCCAGCAAAGGCTATCAGAGAGGATGGGAAACCCTTGGAATCTGAAGGGATGTGTCCCCCAGGAGGCACAAAGCCCCCCCTTGGCATCCCTGGGTCAGGCCTTGAGGGGTGGAGGTGGGGTGGGGGGTCGGGAACACTGTGGTTTTACAGTCTTTGGTCTTAAAGGTCTGAGGCAAGGAACTTGGGAGAACAACCAGACTTCAAAAAAGAAGAAAATTAGTAACAAATCCAGTTCATTTGGGACGTTTTTTAGACCCTATCACTGCAAAACGAAAAGAAGTCCTTTTAGATTTATGTGTTACATTATGAAAAATAGGATAGATTTATTTCCTATTTATAGATTGATCTGTCTATACACATGGTCATATACATAAAAGCCTCGGGCAGCCTTGGTGGGGCGGGCAGGGAGGGCAGCACCGCCTCCCTTGAACTGTCAGCTGTGCACAGAGTGCTGTGCTGTGTCAGAGACAAGGACCCTGGTCTGCTTTCCGGTCGTATCTGAAGAGAAGAGATGCTGCCAGGAGCGGGGCTGAGAAAGGCAAGGACCACATTCTACTTTCCCTCAATCCCTTAATTCTGGAGCCCCAGCCTTCCTCCCTCCAAACAAGAACCCCCAACATTTTTAAGGCCAAAACGTGGGATGAATCCAAAGGGAAAAGGGTGAGCTACTCCTCACCAAACTCTAGAATGCTCAGGAGCAATAGTTAGGGTGCCCCAGACCCTAGCATCTCTCCGCTGCCCAGGCCCCCCTTGACCCAGGCCCCCCTCCACAGCCCACAGCCCACAGCCCACACGGCTGGGTTAGTCCTCAGCGTGGAGCAGAAGCATGGGGAAGGTGAACGGAAGGCCACAGGTAGTACGGCAGCTCGGATGCAGCCTGGGCAAGTCCGGCTTGGCCCTTAGAGGACCCAGGGCCTCAGGCTGGCTGGAGAGAGGGAAGGAGGCCACCCTCACGTGAGCTGCGACCCCAGCAACCCCTCCCCCCACCCACTCTCTAAAAACTCCACGGCCAGCGCAAAGTCAAACTCGTGTAGCGGGGGACCATCCACAGCGATCTTGACCACAGGGTCGCCCCGGCCTTCCCCGGCCCCGTTCTGCCCCCACCACCGCAGCTCCCGGCTGCGGCCGACCTTGTCCAGGAGGCTGGCGCCCGCCGGCAACGCCAAGGCCAGGGCGGCGAGGGCAGCGAAGTCGGGGAAGAGCTCGTGCAGCTCCGAGTGCGCGCAGGCCAGCCTGGCGCACAGAGCCCGCGGGCCCAGCCGCCCGAGGCTGCAGACCACGCGCTTGAAGAGCGCAAAGTCGCGGAGCGCGCGCGGCCGCACCACCGCCGGGGCGTAGGCGCGCAGCAGCAGCCGCAGCGCCCCCTCGCCGTGCGCGCCCAGCCCCTCGGGTGTGTCCGGGTAGCGGCGGGCATCGAAGATCGCGGAGAAGGCGGCCACGGCATCCAGCGAGGGCCCGGGGTAGGAGTCCCGCAGCCCTTTCTGCAGGGAGTCCAAGAAGTCCCCCCGCAGCCGCTCCAAGTCCCGGAGCGCAGCCTCGGAGTAGCCGACCAACTCCAGGCCGCGGTAGGTACAGCGCTCACCGCCCAGGTCGGGACTGGAGGACGCCAGCTCCTGCAGGAAGCCCTGGAGGCGCGCGCCCCCGGAGCTTCGCTGCGCGTGGAGGGAGGCCGCCGCTGCCATCACCAGCGGCTGCAGCAAGGCCAGGTGTGGGTCTTCCGGCTGCAGGACAAGGGCGAGCTTCTGCACGCAGGGCAGAGTGTCCAGCAGCAGGTGGGTGAAGGCCACGAAGGTGAACTGGCGCAGGGCGAGGGCCAGTGCCCTAGCTGTTGGTGAGGCTGGGTCAGAGGCCTCCAGTGTGGGCACCAGGCCAGGCCAGGCCTCAGCCACTGCTTCCACCACAGGCAGCAAAGAGGCCCAGGGCACTGGCCGTGGTCCTGCCAGGTCGATGGCTGCAAGGTCCAGTGCTGCCCGGAGCTCAGGGACCATGTGGGAACTGGGACCACCGTGGAGGCGGAAGAGGGCATCCAGTACACTTTCATATTCACCTAGGTAGGCAGGGGGCTCAGGATCTGGCCGGCCAGGGAGGCAGTGCAGCTCCGTGAGCAGCGGGCAGGTGGCCCGGAGCTGCAGGCCCACACTCCCCAGGCAGTCCCTGGGGAGGCTTGAGCTGAGCCAGGCTAGCTTGGGTGCGGACACACCGAAGGCCTGCAGGATGTCCAGGAGTTGGCCAGCAGTGTCCTCGCCCTCCTGTAGCTCCACACTGCCCAGGAAGGTGGTGGCAGGCTGGCCATCACAGGGTGACACCGACGTGGCAAACAAGGCCAGACTGTGGGACTCAGGCCAGTCTCTGGTCTTGTCCAACACCAGCCCCACATACGGGGATGCCTTCAGGCACTGGCAAGCCTCTGTGTGCAAGACACTGGCAATGGCCACCTGGGACAGCCAGAGAGAGAGAGGGAGGGCGGGCAGAGTTAGGCTTGTCCTGAGAAGGGGAGGCAGACAGTACAGGGTGATCGCAAGAGCGTCAGACAGACTTGGGGACTAATCCTAGCTTTGCCACTTACAGGCTATGTGATCTTGGGCAAGTCATTTCACCTCTCTGAGCCTCAGTATCTTTAGCTCTAAAATCAGGCTCATCGGTGCCCATAACCTCCTCCAAAGGTTGTTGTGAATTATAAATACAGCTTTTTGTTTTTGTGCTTATAAACGAAAAATGCTTTATGAACTGTAGAAGTTCTACAGAGTTTGGTGGGTGGGTGTATTTCTACAGCATCACCCAGTCTGCCTTATTCCTGGGGATCTCCCTCCTCTCTGCTGTCCAGGGATTAACTGATAGACACGTTCACTCCTAACTCCTGGCCAGTGACATAGGGCCCCAGCCACCGTGTGTTCTGTTTGTCTGTTTGCCACATCTCTCTGTAAGATGAGATCAACGCCCCCACCCGCACACCAGCCCCTATGCTCATACAGCTAGTAAGTACCTAGGACAGAGCTGCAACTTGCATGCCCCCAGGGGCCAGGAGGGTGATCCTGAGCTCAAAGTGGGCCAGGGATAAAACAGGGAATGGGGAAGTCCGTACTTGCTCCCCAACTCCACCACTTCATGCCCTGAGAGCATGGGGACCTACTTTTTCAGTACAAGTAACAAATCCAGATTTTCACATGTAATCTCTTGTTTTGTTAAACTTGGAAGCTAATTAAAAATTTTTAAAAACACTGTGGCCCTGGCTAGTGTGGCTCAGTTGGTTGAGCGTCATCCCATGCATCAAAGGGTCATTGGTTTGATTCCTGATCAGGGCACATGCCTGGATTGCAGACTTAATCCCCTGTAGGGGGCGTGCAGGAGGCAGAGGATCGATATTTCTCTCTTGCCCTCTCCCTTCCTCTTTATCTAAAATCAATAAAAACAACCCTGCCGGTTGCTCAGTGGTTAGAGCATTGGCCCTTGGATGGAAGGGTCTCTGGTTTGGTTCCCAGTCAAGGGCACATACCTTGGTTGAGTAGAGGTATGAGCAGGAGGCAACCAATCAATGTGTCTCTTTCACTTAGGTTTTTCCCTCTTTCTTTCTCTCCCCCTCACCCCTTCCTTCCACTCTCTCTAAAATCAATGGGAAAAATAGTTTCGGGATTAAAAAAAATAACAAATAACAAAAATACTGTAAAAAACAACAAAACACTTCTGTGGGCCAATGAAGCCCTCAGGGCCACCCGTTTGCTATCTCTGGTCTAAGTAGTGAGGGGAGTGCCCCTGGGCCCCTGAGGACAGGGCCTGGTCTGGCTGCTCCACTGCTGTGTCCTCAGCAGCCGGCCCAAGGCCAGACACACAGTCGCTCTCAACGGTTCTGACAGTGAAGGTATGAATGAAGTGCTCTGGCCGAGGCCCAGGGGCCTGGCATGCTGGCACTGTGCCAGATGGCTCAATGTCCTCCCTCCCCAAGCCCTCCCCCATACCTCTGGCTGCCACCCACCTGCATGTCCCTCACCCTCCTGGGACTGTAGTAATCACCACGCTCCGTGCCCAGCAGCGCCTGGCACAAGTTGAACCTTTGTAGCTCGAGTAGGGCAGAGCAGCGGTCGTCGGGCACGTCCTCCTTGGCCATGCAGTACACCGTGGTCAACACAGCCACTTTGGCAGGGTCCACGTCCACCTTGATGCCCCTGGAGGGTGGGGTGGTTGCCAGGCCTGGGGAGGCCCCTCCTCCCTCAGCCTGGCCCTCAAAAGTGGGCTGGCCCCGGTTCATGGCCAGAGCCTGGCGGTGAGCCCCCGAGGTCACATGGCGCAGCAAGGCATGGCGCTGGAAGTTGTCGGTGCCCACGGTGAAGGCGTTTTCAGCTTTGCCGTGCTTGTTCCGTACCAGGGCCTGGCGGCACTCAAGGCAAAACATCAGCTTCCGCTCATAGTCAAAGTCCAGCCAGGTAAACTCCTCTTTCCAGTGCTCGTTGAAGTAACGCTTGCACTTCTTATTGGAGTTGGAGGCCTCTCCAGCTGGCTTCTTCCCCGGGGGCACCATTCCTGCTCGAGGGGCAGGGCACCCCAGTTCCCACCCAAATGCTCTAACTCCCAGCCTCCCACACACAGAGTCACGTCCCTTGATAAGGGGAGTTGGTGGGGAGGCAGGAGAAGGGCGCCCGCCTGGCTATTGGGGACCATCCATCTAACTTAGCCGGGAAAGTTTATTCCTGCTCCGCTGGTGGGAGACTGGAGATGGAAGAGACAAGGGAGGTGTGTTAGGGAGTCCACCAAGGATTCACACTGCCCACAGAGCACGCCCCAGCTGAGGGGTGGCCTGAACCCAATGGGGAAGGACTACTGGGAGTGGGCGGGGTCATGCAAAGGGCCATAGAGTATTATCCAAAGGGAGGTATGGGAGGTATGGGTGCCCCAGCCCCACCTTCCAGGACAAGGCATTGTGTAGTGTTGACAGCTGAAGCATGCCAGAACGTGGAGCTGGAAAGACCAGCACCACCTATACAACCACATTTTATGGGTGGAGGGACTGGGTCCTGGAGACAGAGTGGTTCTCAGGACTCATGAATAATTTGTGGCTGAGCCAGAACAAAAACTTAGGCCTCCTGATTCGGTACCCAAAGGATGACTGATCCCGCCAGACCACGGTCCTTTATTTCACTAGAAGGAAGTTAGCACAAAGCTGAGCTCCCGGGGCCACTGGATTTTCTCTGGAGATCCCTTTCCTACACACATACACACACACACACACACACACACACACACACACACACACACACTACACTTCCCCCCATCAGCCTCTCCTTGGCCTGTGTTGTCATCTCCACCTCCTCTTCCCAACCTCAACCTGCCCAGAGAGCTCAGAACCGTCTCTGCTGGCCATTCTGAAATATCCAGTCCCGGTCTGGGCCACTCCTCTGGGCACCACACCTCTCCATCCAACACCTTCCTGGTTTGTCAAATGGAACTTTCACTCCATCCTTACAAAATATGCTCCTCTCCCCGTTGTCCTCAGTCCAGGAAATGGCCCATCCTCCCACCCAGGTACTCTGGCCAGAAACATGCCCCCCTAAGCCCCACTCTCTTCCTCATCCGGGACCTGGTCTATCCACAGGGCCTGTTGATTCCATCTCCACAAACTACCTCTAACTCACCCCTTCTCTCCGTGCCTCTACCACCTTCCTCATCTAGGCTACCTTCATCCCTTGCCTGGACTATGCCAGTTGCTTCCTGATGGTCCTTTGGCTTCCTGCTCTTACCCATGTCTGAGCCATCCAAACCCTAGCAGCTCTTAAAAACACTGCTTTTAAACCCCTCCACTACAGCCTGTTGCACTGGGTCAGTGCCAGAATCCTTTTCCAGGTCTGCCAAATAAATGCTGGCAGCCGCTTGTCCTTCCGTCCCTTTCCAGCTATACCTGCCTTTTCTTGGTTTCTCCTGAGTGCCAGATTCCATCCTCAGGGCCTGCACACAAGCGGTGCTTTCTTCCAGAATGTCCCACCCTCCACTTCCACTCTGGTCTTAGCTTAACTGTCCCCTCTTCAGAGGAGGCTTCTGAATTGTCAGATCCTAGGAAGTCCCCTCCTTGTCTGTCACTATCCCCTGATTGTTCCCTTTACTGCACTCCCCACAGTTGACAAATATGCGTATTTCTGTGCAGGTCTATTCCTTGGTATATTCTCTCTCTCTCGGACTGAACCCCAGAGAAGGGAACAGTGCCTGGCAAAATTGGGGGAGTGAATGAGTAAGGAAGCATGAGCTTTCAGGCAGCATGAGCAGTGGAGTGGGCCCGTGGGCACCTGTTGGGTGGTAAAAATCTGCCTCTGACAGCCTTTCCTCCCCGAATCCTATGATTCAGTGACCTTGTCCAGCCCATCACCAAAGGGTCTTAGAAAGGGGAGGAGGTGCCAGGCGAAGGTGATACCCTTTTGAAAGTGTGTCTGATCCTTTCCAGGCACCTAGAAACTGGCTCTCCTGCCCCATCCTGCAGAGGGGACAAAATGACTGTCAGACTTAGGAGGTTTCTGATAAAAGAGTAGGTAGGAAGGATGCATGGAAAGATGGAGATTCCGAAACTGCACTGTCTGACGCGACAGCCAACGTTAAAAACGAATCAGAACTAAGTGAACAAAAAATTAAATTCAGTTCCACAGTCGCACTAGCCACAGTTCAAATTCTCAACAGCCACACGTGGCTAGTGGCTATTGCATTAGCCAGCCAGACAGACCATTTACAACACCCAAGAAAGTTCGATGGGACAGCGCCACCCCAAAAACAAAACAAAACAAATGGACAAAAGCCTTTGCCATTCCCCCACCTCAGACCGAGGGAAGCAGGCTGATGGGGTGCGGTCCGAGGCTGCCCCATCTCAGACCCAGGTCCCTGGCACCTCTCCTACCCTGGACAGCAGGATGGGAGCAGGCACAACCTGCGGGCCTGGGGCCATGGTGTGCAGGTCTGCCACCCCCACTCCACCGGGCACATAAGCCTCAAACAGGGTTTATTCAGCCCCAGGATGGTGGTCCCAAACCTCCTCCTCAGGCTCCTTTTAGGACCCCACTAAGAGTCCAAGGTCCAGGCAGAGGGGAGGTGGGGACCCCTCCCCTGGCAGCCGGAGTGAGGCTAGGGCTCCCTGCATGCCCGGCCTGTCTCCCTGGGGTGGGGACCCTGAGGGCTGGGGAACTTCTGGGGGTAGGGAGGAGAGGAGCCCTCGGATGGGTCATCTGAGGCACCCATCCGAGGCACCGATCCCCCCACTGGCCGGGGCCCTTGTTGCCCGCCCCCTGCCGGGCAGCTCGGGAGGAGCCGCCCTGCCCGCTGGCCCCCGCCCACACCCCGCCCGCACACACTCACGGAGCCGCGGGAGCCACCATCTTGCCGGTGGACGCTCTGGCCGCGGTCTCCCTGGGCTGCACCAAGCGACAGCAGCCACTAGCGGTAACCACGGCGAAGAGGCGCCAGCAGCCAGCGCAGGGCCGGGGGCGCAAGCTGCGTGGTAGCGACCCCCGCCCCCCAACCCCGGGCTCATCTGGCCGCGCCCACCTGCCCCGCGCTCGGTCTCCTGGACGCACGTGTCCCTGGGTCACCCTCATCCATCCCAGCTGCGGCCGCTGCAGCCGGAGCTACTGAGGTTAAACCACAGGAAGGATGCTCGGGGCGGGAGGCCCGGGAGTCGCTCACTCCTCACAGGCACCTGTAGATTCCTGGCGGAGCTCCCAGGTGAGAGCCCACGGATGGAGAGCCAAACCAGGTGGCGCCCTGCATGGAGGCTACAGTCTGGCAAGTGCTCCGAGAGTTATGAGCAGATGCTTCGGGATCACGGAGGAGCAGGCAGGAAGCCCACGATTTTCCCGAGAGTCAGTCCGTTTGGTTTTCACAGCAGGGTCCGGGAAATGTAGCAGGGAAGGGCATTCCAGGCAGTGGGACTGGCAGAGCGCCGGAAGTGAAAGGTGCAGTGCAGTTCACAAAGGTCGACGTGGAGAGGTGGTATGGGGGGTGGGATGGGTGGGGCTGGGGGGCAGTGCCTGCTGCTGGAAGGCCCTGCAGTGAACCCTGGGGGTTCTGATCTTCCGGCCAGGTGGGAACCTCAGGAGGCCTTTGAGCTGGGAGCTGAATGCCTTCACTAATGAGTTATTTGTAGTGATTTGTAATGGGGGTGACAGACATGGTGTGTCAGTAGAGGAAGGAGTGATCTCTTCCTGGAACTCTCAGATGCACAGAGGCCCACCCCTGTGGGGGTTCCCTGGAGCGGGGAAGAGAGGTTGTGGGTCCCTGCAGGAGGAATGTGGGCGTGTGGCACCCCAGCCCTCCCAGACTTGGAGTCTGGAGGCCTGCAGTGGAGCTCTGCTGACAGTGAAGTGGTCTTGGGCTGGACACTTAGCCAACGGCCTCAGTTTCCTCATCCATGAAGTGGGAATTGCAGCCAGGCAAGGAGGAAAGGGCAGGGCAGGATGGGTCTGAGGACCAAATGAGTTGCTGGGTATGGAGGTCATTTGAAGAAGGGGTGCCAGGGCACTTGGTGACTCAGTCTCCCCTCAGTACAACGTCACCCTGAAATGCCTTTCAGCCCCTAACAGTTGGGTCCACTACTCCCCCACACAAGGCCTAGGGCACAGGTAGATTTGAAATCAGGGCCTCTCTGGGGGCTGTTGGGAACTTGCCCCAGGACCCCTCACACAGCGCTGCCCTGTGCCACCCACGTCTGCCTGTGACATTCACTGTGAACCCTGGCCTCCAGGGCCGCTGCGATGAGGCATGAGTCATGGCACACGCACACACGTTGACTGCTTGGCTTGTGGGTACACTAATGAAGGGAGACACCCCAGTCCCCACACCTGCCCCAGGATGGCACCGCCCAGCCTGCCAGGTCTAAAATTCTGCACCCACAAAAGGGTCAGGTGTGGAGGGTCTTCTCTGATGGCATTTGGCAGCAGAACAGCCGCTTGGCTGTGTGTCTCAGAGCATCCCTCCAGGGGTCATATCTGCGACCCACTCGCTGGCTGGCTGCTCAAGAGGGTAGGTTTTTCCTCTGGTCAAACATGAACAACTCAGACGGTGTGGCAGAGAACAGCTCACCCCCAGGGTCCAGCTGAGGCTGGGGCGGGAAAGAAGAGCGGAGGGCTCATGAAATAACGTCACCCTGGCTGCCACCCAAGGGAGAGGCTCCAGGGGAACCACATTCTGCTGTTTTGCCATCACCGGGAAAGACACACAAGAGCACGGGGACATACCGCATGAGGTCCACAGGCCCACACGCAGATGGCTACAGGCACACGCATCTCCCCAGGATGACACTGTCTGCGCACACGGATGCATTCACATACGGAGGTGGTACCCACGCAGAGACAGATGCCCATGCTGGCCAGAGGCCACGCGTGAGCGTGCACGTACACACAGACAGGCAAGATCAATAAAGATGCGCTCAGATCACATATACCCAGAGGAACAGACACGCAAGGGACAGACCCTAGAAAGGCATATACAGACGATTCAAAACAACAGGCACGCAGCACACACACAGGCACAGAGACGCATATGCACAAAGGCCCAGATACAGACACGTTCACCCAGAGGTAGGTGTGTGCACACACCCCGCTTACAAAATGAGATGCATCTGACATACACACGAGCTCCTGTAGCCAAACCCAGGGTCTCTTTCTCCCACAGGTCATGGGGCAGATGGTAGGGCTCGCCCCACCCCAGGCATGCACACACACACCTCAAATAGTCAAGCTGCTGTTTCTATCACAGATAAAACCAAAACTCTGCGAAAAAAAGAGGGAGTCCAGGAGGGAGAGAGAGTCCAGGCAGGGAATGGAAGGTTGAACCAAGACGCCCTGCTTGCCTACTCCCACCAAGTCCTCCCCACATTCTCCAGGGCCCCCAATCCACTTCGGGGTGAGCCAGCATTCAGGAGGTTGTGATGTTCCAGACTCCCTCCTTCCCGTGCTGGAGGAAGACCCCAAGCCCAGTCACAAGAGGGACTCTGTCCCAGCCTCCAGCCCGTGGAAGGGGTTCCCCAAAGCCCCCCTTAAAAGGTGATGGCTGTCTCCCCCAAAGAGGGCCAGACAACCCCAGTGTGGAGAGGTGAGCCAGAAGACCAGGGAGAAAGGGGGCCATTGGTGTTGACCCCAGCGCAGTGGCTGGACCTCAGGTAGGAGCACCCTAGATTTCTGCCCGCCTCCCTCTGTGTCCCTCTGTCTGTCTTTCTCTGCTGCAGTAACAACCCCCTCCCATAACACTGCTTGGAGGCTCCAGGCAGTTGAAGGTGTGATTTGATACAAGGAAGGTTTGATGCAGGCTCCTGGGCACATGTCTGCCCCAACTGTGGCAACTTCACTCCTGCAGGGTGGCCTGTGGCTCCCCAACGCTTCCTGTCACTCCTGCCCCCACCTTTGTTCCCAGCCAGAGTGGGGGCTCCCTTGCCCAGCCCTGGATCTAGGAAAATGTACCAAGAGTCAACTGGCTATGGGAGACTTAATAGACAACTTTTGGAAGCCAACAAACACAGGAAAAGGATAGGGCTGGGAGAGGGAAGGGGCCTGTCCTGGTCTCCAGGCCCCCTCTGCACCCGGCTCCTGTGCCCTCCGTACTCACCCAAGAGCATTCTCTGCTTCGGAGGCACCGCTGAGCGCTGAGCGCAGAGTGAGGAGCAAATGAAACCCAGCCAGAGAGTGACAGAGGGAAGGGGGTGGGGGATGCGAGGGACAGGAGGGGAGGGCATGAGGGAGGGACTGCTGCTCCTGCCTGGAGAGCCGTGGTTACCAGGCCCTGCTCCCCCTTGCCAGGATCAAGCTGCCTAGTCCCTGGTTTCCTCCATCCCAACCAGGGGTGGAAAGAACCGGGCACTTCCTTCCCTTAGGGTAGGGGAGGGGCCAAATGCGGAGACTATGAACAGGGGTGAGTGTCAGGGAGTATCCACTCCCCGCATCCCGGATAGCACGGGCCTAGAGCCTCTGCAGCAAATAGCTGACC